ACAGACACCGTTCTGCTGTCTACGAATCGACTCCCCAACACCACAAGTGGAGTGCACCTACTACCTGAAATCCCGTGAGATGAACGTGCAGCGGATCCAAGTAACAGAGAGAGGAACAGAAAAAGTAAAGATAAACAAACTGATTGCTCGCAGTGTTCCTGAGCTTGCTGATTCCTCATCCGACGATGCGCAGGTACACAAGCGGGAGCAATGGCATTATATCGATTAGGCTATTTTTCTGGAAAATGTCGTGGCCACCTCGTTGACAAGGATCCCCTTAGCAGCGAACTATAAGGAGTGCGGTCCCAGGCTGTTGAAACTGGTATTACAATCGGAACTAACGGCACAAATTTTTCTAGAATACTGGACTAAATTCCGTAGCAGGTTACTAACAGAAATTCGTCAGAAAGCAGCACGGACACCACCAGCTTCTAATGATAACTCAGTGGAGGCGCAAGTCTCAATGCACACACCAACTGTAGGACCTGACTCGGTGACGGTTTCTACAGTAGTTATAACATCCGGAGGAACATAGCAGAGCACGGACAAACACCGAGATCCAGGGCATCTGATACTTTAATATATACCAAATTCATCTCGAGAGCCTTCAATCCATCTAAAAAACCACTGCCCGCCAACCTTACGTCGGTCAGCGTAAACGCACTGTCTTCATCCATCCAATCTAACACGCTTTTAGTCTCTGAGAAGCTCTCATGCATGTACATAAATGCCCAATGTCTACTCAGCAAATCAGCAGAATTAAGACTTCGACACGCTTGGGACCTCATCGCTATCACGGAAACGTGGTTGCACTGTGAGATAACCGTTGCCGAAATCGCACTAACAGGTATGTCTGTTGTCCTTAATGATCCAGTCAGCAAAGGTGGAGGGGTAGTCATCTACTTTCGTAACAACCTGCAGTGCGAAACCATAAACGATTCGAAAACCGATTTATCTGAAATCCTTTGTTGCAGTTTTTGGCTGAGAGGAAACGATCTTGGCTTTTTAGTTGTCGTTTACCTATCACCATCATCTACACCTGAGCTGGACTACAACTTGGTGGCTGCATTGAGGCAGGTGATAAGCAGGAAGAACAGTCACGTTCTAGTCACTTGCTATTTCAACTTACATGCTCTAGAATACCAGGCCACCAGGAGAGCAATTCAAACCAAACCTGCATGGTCTTGTCTCAGGTTTTCGGCTTTATGGCCACCTCACTTCGCCCACCAGATTCAGATGGAAAAAACAGGTCATCCACATTGGACCGAGTATTCACTAATGAAGAACTGCTGATAGAGAAAGTGATAATCGATACTCCTCTAGGCTACAGTGATCCTGCGACTTTGCATTTCATGTACACTTGCTATGCTGGATCTCCCGAGGACCGAACTCAAACAACGCCAACTGTAACCAGTTACGACACTTCAACCGGAGCTGTTGAGGCAACCGACTGGAGTTTCCTAACCTTGGGCGCAGCCGATATTGCCTGGGAACGTTTCGTCAGTAAGTTTAACATCCTGGTTGGTAATGCATCTCAAACCAAGACTATCATTTCGAGAAACATGGCGTCGTTTATACGGACTAGGACACGCAAAAGCATGGTGATGCGCAACGCGGCGCGTTATACCGACAAAACGGATCCGAGTACCTGGAAGGCATACATTTTGCACCATATCCACTGTACCCAATTAGTGCGCGAGGACAAATTAGCTTATCAACATGCCTTAGCCGAGCGAGTAACTGCAAATCCTAAGCTTCTGTACAAGCATGTGAACAGCTTGCTCAAGGTGAAAAGTGCATTTCCCCCTCTTCCAAGAACGGATGGTCTAACTCAGACTGCTAAAGAAGCGTGAATTCGTCGTTTAAGGAATTTGAAACAATTAGTTCCCTTGAACATTTTAAACAACGCTTTCGTCTTCTCACAGCGTTGTTTAAAATGTTAAAGAAGCGTCGAGTGTTCTACAGCAACAATATGCACCAACATTTCATTGCATCCCGTGGTCTCCTGAATCTTTGGAATCTATGGTGCCCAAACCAGGACTCAATCATATAAATTTTACGGCAGACATCGTGATGAGAAAGCTGCTATCCATGCGCCTGCACATCTGTCCAGAGATTGATGACATCCGCCTAAAGACATTTGCTGTGGCGGCTACTATTTTGGCTGAACCTTTGGCACGGCTGTTCCAGCACTGCTTTGACGAGCAGCCCGTGTCTGCATTGGGGTAACACGGAATAATAAATCCCATTTACATAGGGGTAGCCATTCCGACCCAACTAATTATCACCCAGTGACGCTACTGTCAGTTCTTTCAAATGTTATGGAGGCTATCATTGCCGACGCACTCATGTCTTATTTGGACGGCTTTGGTTACATTGCTTAGCAGCAACACGGCTTCCGCCAGAATCGGCCGTGTACAACCAGCCTATTGTTAGCACGAGACAGCTGGCCCGAAATTGCAGACGCTGGTGCAGCAGTTGATGTGGCTTAACTTGATTTCTCTAAAACATTCGACCGGTTGGACCATCGTATCCTTCTCGCCAAACTTTAAGGATGAGGCATTGGGGACCCTCTCCTCGGGTGGATCTGCAATTTTCTCTCGCACAGGCGTCTGGAGGTGAGCGTACTGCAATCCATGTCCGACCCAATTCACGTCGAATACGGAGTGTCACAGGGTTCGGTATTGGGGCCCGGTCTATTCTTGGTCTTCATAAAGGATCTCGTGGGTCAAACTGCGTCAGACTGTTTACTCTACGCCAATAACATAAAATTTAGTGAGTGATCAGAGCTGCAGAAGACCGTATCCAGCGTCAAATTGACCCGGACAAGATTTTTGAATGGTCGGTCCAAAATCGCCTTTTCTTCAATGTGGCTAAAGGTCGAGTGCTCCATTTAAGACACCGCATGGTTCACACATATAAGCTGGGTGACTAGGATCTGCAACACCTTTCTCTTGAAAGCGCTCTTGATGTGTTAGTCTAGGAGGATCTCGGCTGCTCGGAGCATTCCAAAAGGGTATCGAAGAAGGGGATCCAAAGCGTGGGTCTTTTACGGAGAGCTTTCGGGCAATTCGAATTGTAGATTTTCCACCGAATACTTCTCGCTTATATACTTCCACCTGTTGAATATGCAATTCAAGCTTGGCGCCAATGGCTAAAACGGGATGTCACGGTCTTGGAGCTTCTACAACGTCAGGTGACCAAAAATATCAATGGGCTGCACCACTTGTCATAAAAAAACCCTCAGAGTGCTTGGCATTTTCTGTGAACCTTATCGCCGTTTGCGTGTTGACCTAATCATGGTTTACCAAGTATCAAACAACACTAATCACCCCTGCCATCACCTATTGAAGCTGAGTCACAACAGCCAACTGAGAGGTCATCATCTCAAATTGGCAGCACAAAACAGTCGGTTGGAGTGTCGAAGAAACTTATTCTCGTTGCGTGTTTGCCACACGTCGAATACCCTCTCAGAAGCTGTTATTTCATCCCCTACGTTGGCCGTGCTTAAAGCACGTGTCGATAGTACACTGGCCACACTACACCATAGGACATAATCCAAACGACCCATAAAAACAACAGGAAAACAATAACAAACCAACCCACTTTTATTTTTTTCCGAAAACCACAGACGATAACCTTGTATAGTACATAAAACGGACGAGAACGCTGTAATCGGCAAGTTCGCAATTTGCAGTTGTTCACTATTTCCTATTATATATTTTTGCCTTGTTTTTACTTACCCCTAACCGATCATCCGACGGGACATGTCAAGCTTCAGCTTCTTTTATTCGCAATATACCATTGACCATTTTGTGTTAGGGGAAATGCGTGTCGGGTCATGAGAATCAACCACTAGAGTTTCTAATGATGCTGTAAAGTTAATAGCAGTAGTCTTACTTAGGCCGCTGTGTCGCTTTTGCTATGTGCATAATGACAAAGACACAACGGTCTAGATACGAATGTCGCGGTTGACTTTGCATTTCTCATTTCACCGATGCAGCAAAGCCTGTATGTGACAGCATATGCGGTGTATTTGACATTTGTTGTCAATATTTCGTGCCTTCAGTGATTAGGTCGAGCGTCTTGCGATTTTTCGCACTAACTGCGCCCTTTTACCACATCAAGGGGACATGTTGTAGGATTTGGGAAAAATAGTTCCATCCTGAACGCTGTGCCACCGCTATGACTCTTGAGGTAATAATAGGGTTTGTGGCAGCTGAAATATAGTGGATGAGGTATACTGCGTCCCCACTGACGATATTTAGATCTGGAGTCCTTGTACTTTCTGTACAAAGTGAACAGTGTTAACCAGCTGTTGAGGTTAAAGCATACGTCTGAAAGACTTACCAGAGATTAAGTAAAACCGAGGACACCACAATCAAGTTTAACCATAAGTTATTGTCTCCATCCACAGGTTGTGGACGCTCCTTGTAAGGTACAAGGAATTGTCTTCTCTGTGATTTAGGGAAGAAATGTTCACGTAGGTCACCGTCTGCTCTATCAGAAACGACCAAACTTTATATAATGTTTATTCTACGCCCCTGCCTGAGCATTGTTCTCGAAATAACGGATCACGCCCCAGTTATACTCTCCTCCTTCCACCAGTGATTAACTATAAAACTAACCTATCGAGTTGTCTACTGAAACTTAATGAGCAGTACAACCGGTTGACTTGCAACCGCGTTGTCCAAATCTGGAGGAGTTTCCACAATTCACTTGTTTCGTCCCAAATATAAATGCTTTTCATACGAAGTAGACGTAAAAGTAAGTTTACCTCCCTCAACGTACTACCTTGCAAAGTGCCGTAATCTTCGTCAGATACCGTCGACTATACCGGAAATCAGTGAAAATGGGCGTGTATACTTATTTTCCATACAAGAAATATTAAGTAAAACATATGCGTACTAATTTTTTATCCATCGCGACGTGTCAATAATTCACTCTGTCATCCGTATTATCACATCGTTCCCTTGTCTGATTGCCCTTTGTGTCTCAAGCCAAACACGCGTCCATCCACTACATCCTGTCGACACACGCCATTCTGCCATCGTCGGAGTGCTTCACACGTGAGTCCAAAGCAGTACAGATTTTATCGTTATCTGAACGTTACGCATTATTATGCACTGCAGTTACTGAACACAATTGTTAATCACCCCAATGTTGCAGTACTTGAACCTTTGTCAGTAGCCAAAACATTTCGAAAAGCTCAAGGGTGCATTGGCGCATCATTGCGGACTATCAGTCGTCAAATTGGGTTGAGACGTATAGTTATCTGCTCTCTTATTATAACACGTGTATACCAAATGCCTTTAACAAGTTTAATTCCTTATTCTATGTCATCGAATAACTGAAGTTCCTGTGGTTTTGCCTTTGTTTATTCTCTTCACTTCCTCGTAGTAAACGTTTTGCTTTTGTCACATTTGGTTCAGGTTTTATCAAAAAGCAGGTTGAGTGAACCCATAGACCTTTTCACATATCCTATGGTCTCGGTTGAGAAAATAACGAGTAACAACTGCTTTTGTAGCAGGGCTGGATACCCAAGTGAACACTAATCCGTATAGCAGAGAAAACCACGGTATAGGAGACAGATACGAAGAACTTCACAGACACAACTAAACTGAAGTTGGAGTTATTTACCGAATCTCAATGCAAGCCACGGTAAGCATACAAAAGCTTCATACTAGACGTTACTTAAGACCGCCATCGTGGCACCTTGTGTGATCTTTCAAGCGCTATAGTGGCAAAGAGATCAACTGTGACTTGCACCTGTTAGGCACCTGAGGGAAATATAACGTTTCAACCTGAATGTGTTGGTTCTACACAAAATCTCTTAAAAGCAGCGTGGGTTTATTTGTCAATGGGACTTCCACGAGTTTAAACTTTATACTAATGATATTCTAAGCCGAATTAACGTAGTGTCTTATAAAGTGTCAGCTTTCCTTTTCTCTAAATTCGACATGTTTTGATCATGTTTCAACACAACACAGAAGCTGCAGTCAGAAGTAATCTGCCTTTGCGTAAATCGATATATAGTATAGTAGTTAGTAGTAGTAACAGTCTATTAAATCGACCAAGGCATTAGATAGATATTAAATTAATAAATTATATTTAGCCTTCTAAATTAAATTGATAAAGTTTGAAGGAGAACAGATGGGAACAGTTCGAGTGTACATCCGCTGCAAGTGCACCACTCTCAAACGCCAACAAACTATGTTATTTATACAAGCCATATACATGTGACTCAGAAAACGCACTTTAGGTCTATTATTTACATACCACCAAATGAAATTTATCTCAGCCGCAGTTTAGCCAGTTAAACAAGTTAAGCCACTATCCACTTACTGGGAAGCATGGTTACCTGAACAAATTTAATCAAATTAACCTGCCCCCACACTGCTGAAGATATGTTCCACTGATCATTACGCGGTTGGCGGCATCCGGTTCCGAACTTGCCTATCACTGTGGCCTCAATAGGACAACCACAAGACGCCTGTCCCTACAGAGGGACCATGGGTAGTTTGCGCTGCACCACATGTAACTCCATCTACACACCCTATATCCAGTGTAAACCAGAAAGAATAAGACCGGGAGGCATGTGGATGGGAGCCACGTTTCATTAACGGAACCGACACACACTCCTTCACAAGCAAACACAAGCACGCTGTATTTGGGGAAATAAGTGCACACAAGGCGGTGGCTGGACCGTAGTCCGCTCCACAATGAGTGCATGGAACCGCTCTTCGAGCCTAGCACGGCCGCAAGAACCGTGCATCCCGTCCCCTCCAGCAACGACTAACTGTCTCCTGGAGTCAGTGTAGACGAGGCAGTGGGTAGGCAACTTGTCAACATGCACTTCAAGCGCAGCCACACCGGAGATGTCAACCAACAGCCAATCACTTGCAATGAGAATAACAAATAATATATGTCGAATGGAGCATACAGAAATGCTGACCTAAATCTACGCTAAATGATCATATATGATCAACTGGTTACTAACAAATCCGCGATAAGTACAAGTTGTTTGAAAATATTTTTTTCATACCACAAACGTGAAACTGTTAGCGAACTTAACCCAAATTAGCTTAAACAATTTGTGCAAGTTCAGGTAAGCACTAAGATGAGGTAAAAAATAGTATTGAGACACGATAGCAAACCCACCCCATGAAATAAAACAACTCAGCACACAAGCACGCCGTTAGTAAATCGAATGCAACGTATCTATCAAGGCTGCGACGGTTCTGCTTACGTTCTCAGCAGTACACGTCGTTCGTCGTTCCATGCTGATCCCGAGTGGCCTCGCTCGTGGTCCACTAGGCCTGCCTTACTCACACTTGCGACCTCATGTTCTACGGCACCATGCGCTCGACGTAGATGGCGTACACCCTATCGGTGCCTGCCGCTTCGGCATTTGCCGCTTCTTCTCTGCATGCACGAGGGCTTTTGCTTGCACCTCGGGAACGGCCTTCGTCATCAAGTCGCGCCATGAACGCCTATCAAACGCTTTCTATTCCCATAACCTACAATCAACATTAGAACGTGACAGGCTCACTTTGATCATTTCTTGGTAACGAAGCTTCGGTTTCCCCGCATGCCGCTTCCCCATACTCAGCTGACCATATAATAGCTGCTTCGGAAGCCGCCTCGAATCCATACGCCACACGTAACCGAGCCACCACAAGTGTCTCAGCTAACTTATGCAGTCCACTGCATATATTGCACTTCGGCGCAACACTTCCGTGTCTGCAACTCTGGCGCATCAACCGATGTGCAGAAGCCATCGCAGACACTGTTGATGAAAACACTCGAGATAGCGCACATCTCGCCGGTACATCGTCCATGTTTCTCTGCCGTAGAGAAGAACGGACAGCGCCATTGATTTGTAAGCCATCAGGTTCGTTCTGGCGGTATGATTATACACGATATCTGCAGGTGGAAAACATCTCAGCCATTGTGCCGCAATACAAAACACAAGATGAAGAAAACAGTGGCACGCAGGCTGAGTCCCTAGTAACGGATGGACATTGTTCTGGAGAGCTAACAGCCGGCTTTCATGCAACAAAAAGTTATAATATGCCTAACGAGTGAGATCGTGATTGGAGTGGGATGCTAAGTAGGATCAGGTTGGACAAAGGAATCCACAAGACAAATGCCATTGGGGCCGGCTCCTAGCCATATCAGCAAGTGTGTCCAACCAAACGTGTTCATCGTCTTTAGGGCCCCAGCCAGGCAGTCGGGATGCACCGACCGACACCAACTTAGAAGTGAGCATTTTTATTTCTCCCTACGAAGTCATCGCTTGACCTCCTCTCCACCTCTTACAACCGCACCCCAGGCGCGCAAACAATGCACGTCGTGGTAGTCGGTGTGCTGGCATGTGCAACACGTGGCCCAGCCATCGGAGCCTGGCGGTTGATATAATGGTGCTGAGCGGTTCACTCGCTCTTCCTGCACCAAATACGCGATGCCGAACACGCTTATTGCTCACGCGGTGCTCCCACCAGACATGTGCTAGGCTGCGAAGGTAGCGATTATCGAATGTGAGGAGCCTCTTTATATCTGTCGACCTGATGGACCAGGTTTCGCAACCATATAGGAGAGTTTAACGGACGGCTGCGTTATAAACTCTGCCCTTCAGGATGAGAGTAATGTCGCGTCTGCGCCACATGTGGCGGAGATTGGCAAAAGCATCTTGAGCTTATTCTATACAGTTCGTAACTTCGTCTTCGATCCCACGGGCGCTAATATAGCTGACCGGCTATTTGAATTCCTAAACGACTTCTAGCTGATCACCACAAAGCGTTAAAACAGAGGCGGATCCCTGCCTATCATCTTGGACGTAATTTTCATTTCGATGGAGCAAAGCAAAGCCCAAAACGATTGATAGGCAATGCTAGTCGGTCAAATGCAGACTGGCACGTTTGGGCGCTGTCACCTATGAGGGCAATATCGTCCGCGTACTCCAAGTCAAGAAGTCGCTCACCAAGAAGTAGCTTCACACCTTCTATGTCGTGTCCAGCGAATGCTGATTCCATGACTTCGTCAACTGCGAAGTTAAATAGGAAAGGTGATAGCGGGCAACCTTGTCTCACACCGCTGGTGATACTGAAGGGTGGGGACAGTTTGCCATAGATCCTCACTCTTTCCGAACTATGCGCGTACAGAGCTTTGGTAATGTTTACATATTTGTCAGACATACCTTTCCTCAGCAGACACTCTCAAAGGCCACATCGATCGACTGAGTCGAAGGCACCTTTTATGTCAAGAAGCACGACAACGGTGGGTCGCCAATATACCTGGCAGAACTCCAACAATTGACGCAAGTTGAAAGTGTGATCGATGCAGCCCCGACCTCGACGAAACCCGGCTTGCTCCTCACGAATCTGGCTTCCACGGGTGCCAGTCAGTTTGTGGAATGTGACGGAGGCAACAATTTATGGGCAATTCAGATCAGACTGATCCCTCTATGATTGCCGCATTTCGAACGGGAGACTTCCTTGAAAATTGGGACCATGACGGTGGAGCTCCAGTCTATCTGTGCAGTCTCCTGCTCCCAAAGTTTCACTAGCAATTCATGTAAATGTTCTACTAGAGCAGGTCTCCAGAATTTGAAGAGGGCTGGGGGAATTCTATCTGTCCCTGCGGCCTTATTTAATTTCAACAGCCTGATCTCATGTTTGACTTCTAAGCTTGAGAGCGGAAAAAGGAGAAGGCCTAGGTAGAAGAGCGTTCAATGCTTTAAAAAGAAAGCTATAACTCAGGTTGGTTAAATTGCATTGCAAACTGTTCGGCCCAGCGCTACAAGCGTTTCGACAGGCTGTGGATCGGCTGCTCACTCTCGTCGCGTATGGTCTCGTTAACACCAGGTCTCCTGCTGCCTGTCTCCCGTATCAGATGGAATGGATGGATGGAATGGATGGATGATTATCAACGGTAGCGGCTGTTTCTATCTCCGAGGCATGATGAGACCACCAGACTTCGCGGTCACTCTTCAGGCTAACAGGAAGCTATGCCCTGAGATTTTTGCGAGTTTGATTGTATTCGCTTCCAGCCGGAATATGTCGGCGAGCACCCATATGTTCCAGAGACTTTTCAGACCCAATATCCAGGTTGACAATTCGAGTGGCCTCATGAAGATATGCCTACTGATCGTAACGCTTGACGAATATGCGACTAGTGATCTTCGACGGTGTTCAGTGGGCGCTTACTCAGCCCAATTGTCAGCGCACTTTGATACATATTCACAACACATGGCTTCGCCAGCTGACGGGTGTCAATCCGTTCACATCGACGTTTCGGACGTCCACCGAAACGCGCCCGAAGGTAGACGTAGACAAGTGCATGGTCCGTGCCGACGGTAAGCTGATGGTTATTCCACACTCCGTACTCAAGCTTCCCGAATGCCGCCGCTGTTTTCGACACTCGAATACGCATCTCAATGTGTATCTGCTGGTCAGTCGAAACCACGTTCTCAAGGTAGCAGAAGCGGTAGGTGATATCGAATACTTCGTCACCAATACTGCTTTGCGGCACTATTGCAGATTGCATCTCAGGTGACTGCTGAAACAGACAGTTTTACATGTACTCATAAGTAGCAGGATTTTAGTTGCAAGTTTGATAAGGCTTTCATCCCAACAGTTCACAAGCTACATAGCAGAGCCTAGTCCGGAAAAGCGTCAGATGCGTTTCGCCCTATTGGGGCTCGTCAGTGGCGCGCATTCCCTCGGTCCTCTAAGGAGGATCGAACCTATGACCGCTAGAGGCAGATGCCAGCTAGCCAGCAGCTTAAGCCACTGAGTCATGGGGGACGTTGGCTGGGCTACATAATTTGCAAACTAGCTGGGATATAGCACCACCTATCTACCACTGTCACTGACAGTCGTTAGCCTGCAAGGTGATGACGTCCTCTCACTAGACGCTATATCTATAGCATTTGAAACTAGGAGAGGCATTTTGATTTTATAGTACTCATAAGTTTGTATTTTTCGGTGGTGTTCCTAAAGAAGCTACCAAGCAGGAACGACTGGGATAAGTGTTTCAAGATCCATACAAATATTTCTGGCCTGTTGTGTGACCGATGGCTCACAGGAGGTAGAACAACGTAAGTAATAAGACTTGTATTTGTAAGTGTGGTGATGATTTGTGGCATTCGGCTTCAGAACTGTTTGTATAAGTAAAAGCAATCGCAAGATGTTAAGTTTCAGGTAGTATCTGCTTGAAGAAATGCACTCTATGATAGGTCGCTTGCTTCGAAACACTAGTCAGATAGGGCTATCATCCCGGGAGGCATAGATAGCCAGCTGACGCTACACAGCGAGTGATTCAAGTGAATCAACCGTATGTCCTTAACCGTTGTTGTGAACGCTACTTAGGACTCTGTGGCGTTGGAGTAAAGGTGTCAAACGGGGTCCAGGCATGGTTTTGCTGTGCATACCTGAACTTTGCAGACAGATAGGAGACCGATGGTAGAGTACAGTGTTGCGAATAGACAACATCTGACATGTATCTGTCTCACCTAAGGTCCGGGGGAACGAATTGACCGAGACTTAGTTAAAAATAAATCTAGATTGCAGACCACAATCCATCCAGGCAAGGTTTTCCACAACACATGCAAAATTCCGTCACAGAATGCTTGCTGTAACTCTTTGTTAACTCTTGACCTGTACTGAACCCCTTTCCAAGATTCCACCCACATCTCCTTAATTGGCATAAACCCGAATTGTGAAGGCTATCAGCCTTGCAGTGGCAGTAGGAATAACAATAAAATACTGCTCAGAAACGCGAGACACGATTCAGACCAAATTTTAATCAGAAATCTTAGTGTTCGCTGGTTGTCCAACAATTTCGGCTCCACTTTCGCTCAGACACCAAGCAGATAATTTCTCCAAAAATGCATCGTGCGTTGGTAGTAATCATCGGTACAAAACGTCGAAATGAAATGCGGTCTCGGTAGTCGTAAAGAGAAAGCAAATAATAAATATAAGTGGATTGCAATATAAGCATTGCGTAGGGAATTGCGAGAAACAGTGTGCACTTAAGAATACGAGTGCTTTTAGATAATATACCAAGGAGTATTTACTATTCGGTCGAGCAAAATGCGTCCACTAAGTTTACTTTGTATGTTTTGCCTTGCACCCATACACATGAAGCGGATGATATTCAACGAATCATGCATTTGCCAATGGAATGGATTGGAGCCTTACCAAGACATGAAGATACTCGGTGCATCACAAAATTTATCGCCCGGTTTGCTGGTGAGTTTTACTTCGACCGTACACTTTTATTGGATCGCATTGTGACACCAGTATTAGTAGCAGGATAGAGAAAATTTGTTATCTTGAGAAAACCCAGTTTTCCCATCATAACACAGTGGAATCGTTTTATCTTTTATCCTCGGAAATTGCATGTATCTGTACGTATGTTGAGCGTATTTCCAAACGGGATGGTTTCTCCAGCTTACACAAACTGATGCGTGACTGTTCGGATGGTTCATAGAACCGAGGCAGCGGAGTTAAAACAACAGCCTGACTGCACAAACGGGATCTCGATATCTGTAACCGTAGTTAGGTTGGAAAAGAGGACTGGTTGGATGCTGAGTTGTCAAGTGCCTTTTGCGTGTGGTGTACACTCTAATCGTTTTACTTCATCTACCGTGAAACGCAACATCTTGCAGCCGTAAGATGCCGACATTGTGTACGGCGCTAAGTGTCCGTTTTTTTACTATCTAACGCTGTAACCACGTTACTGGCGTAAGCTTCCCTTGGTGCCTGGTTGACGTCGACCTCAGGCTATATGTTCTGGGATACTTTTGTTCACTGACCCCAACTGTTACTTTCGCAACTGACTCAGAACTCATTTTTCTTTTGCTTCAGCAAGATGATTAGCAAAAGTTATGCATTAATTTATTTCTTCAGAACTATTTTCCCGAAAGCCAGCTTTAAAACATACAGAAATGGAAGATCCCTTGGATAGACATGCTCGCAGATGCGGTCAACGTGTCTTCATGGATATCATACGCTACGCTTCGAGTGGCATACGACCTGCCAAACCAGACAGGTGAGCTCTTGCTACTCACTTGATCGATTTTTTGTGAACTGTCGCGTCCTTAGCTGGGGCAAAAGCAGTCTAGGTTTGATCGCAGGTGCTACCTAATGTTCCCATGGTTACACACTCGTATGAGGTACATTAGAGACCGAGAGATAATGACCAGTTACATAGAGTCCCATGCAGGATATTAGGGAGTTCCTTAAAAGGGGCCGTTAAAAGGACCTCGTGTTACTCGTCTATCTTTAAATTCTTCATTTTGTCGTGATGACAGAAGCTCAGGGTAAGCATACCACAGCTTAACTGCTGTTTTCCAGTGAGCACTAGAGTGTTCACTACCACATTTTTCGAACTCTTAGTTTGACCAATGCGTGATTCAGGATGATTAACCAGCAAGGTAATTAAATAAACGGATCTCTTTCAGTTTCCTTCTTGATCCAGTTTTACAGTAAGTAAACGTAGGACGAAATGAATATTGGTTGCCACAATGCACTGGGCGGATACAGAAGCCGGCATAACGGTCTTTAATTGTCTTGGCTCTTTGAAATGCGTCCCCCCTATTGCAGTCTGTTATGGAAATTAAATATTTTAATAACAATGGAACCATCAACGATAACAGAACCGGAGGTGGCCGGCTAAATTGTATCTATCTTTTCCAGGCTTCACCCAAGATTGCAACAACCTATCAAGCTTAGGGATTTGTTATTTAGAGATAGCTTACAAATATTTTGTCTGACGACTTCTTCCTTTGAACAATGAGGTAAGAAGACGAAAGCTGGTAGATGCATGCATTTTGTATTGTTGCCTCAGCACCATTCATAATAACCTTTATGTGACTATATAACTGTGGATGTGACCAAACAAGCTTGTGATGAAAAACGAATGACGGAAGTTCCACCCCCTATGTTCACTAGCTTCACACCAGTACAGACTGACACCTGTGCAAAATTAGTTAGTCGCGCGAGACGAATTTGCTTGGCGGATCGTCTAGTCGATGAGCTACCAACTCTAGTTAATTACAATTACGCTCATGGCGAATGGTTATCCTCGCAGATTCATATAGAAAAGCAGTCAAAAACGTGGCCCAAAAGACTTAGTACATACAGCAACCAATTAAAAGATATACATCGAGTTGCCTTTCAAGACTGACCCCCCTACACTTAAGAGCACGCAGAGTAGTTAGCATGCTGCTCAATTTGTTGTAATATTCCTTTGACGTTGAGAGTGGCGCAGCGTGCCATCAAATCCATAAAACTATCAACTTGTCCAGGTCCAGATGCCATTTCCCCAACTGTCCTAAAACGCGGCAGAAAAACAAGGCTCTACTGTTATTAAACATGTTCACACTTTCTCTCATTACCGGCTGCTTCCCATCGCAATGAAAGCAAAACATTATAATGCCTATGCACAAGGGTGGCCCTTGAAAGCTAATGTTATGCTACCGCCCCATAACGTACACCTCTGTTGCTTCCAAAACCATTGAGAGAATAATCAAGTGAAACATTGTTTGATTTATTACAAGACTGGATCTGATACATCCCTCACAGCATGGTTTTCAAAACACTCCTGTGTTACCCGCCAGCTTCACTTCTTTGGGTATGTAACGATTATGCTTGACAGAGGAATGGCAATCATTACACTTCTCTTAAGCACGCAAGAGGCGTGCGACCGCATGCCGCACAAGCCACCGTTGTCCGTTCTATTCATATGGCATTAGAAACCCCATGCTAAACTGCTTCGACTCATGTCTAAACTGTCGAAATCAGGTAGTTAGAATCGGTCAGCAATACTCTACACCAAAACAGATAACCAGCGGTGTATTCCAGGAAAGTGTGTTCGGACCACTACTTTTCCTAATGTACGTAAACAACAAATGCCCATTTCTGTTTACAGATAACGTAAAACTGGTCTAGTCTTTTCATCCAGACCAACTATACATTTGGTTGGGAAGCATCTGTGAAGATTTTTTCGCATTAAATATAGCCAGTGAACATTTGTTAATGAAGTTCTCCACAGTAAAATCCCATGTACTTAGGTACAGATGCCGCATTTTGGAAGGCTCTAACCCACTTGCCGAAAACGTGATCCCAACGTCTGATTCAGTTCGGGACGTAGGAATTAAGTACTCCAACTCTTTCAATTTCTCCGAACATGTGCTGTATCACGTTGCGAACGTAAGACAGTTACGCGGATATATCACCAGAACTTTTTCCTTTCCTGAAACATGACTTTAGTTATTCAGGCTAATCGTACGACCGACTCTGGAATACTGTCCTATCATCCACAGCCAAGTAAGAAAGAAAGACAGAACAGCTCTGAAAAGTGTCCAACATCATTTACCAAGCTGGTCATGGAGCGCTGTTCACACCTGAGTTATTATGGGCGCTGTCGACAACTCCAAATGGATCCCCTTTGGCTGAGACGCCTAAAGGACAATCTCCTTCTCTTCTACAACCTTGGTAACCAAAGAATTTACTCAGACAGCACCGCACTTGAGCTACAGTGGCCTGCAATCCAGTCCACACATAATGGCGGCTACTTGCTACGCACAAACCTTGCAAGTCATAAAACTCGATCGGATTTCTTTTTAGTAAGATACGCCGATCTGTGGAACAAACTACCCCTACAGATACGCATGAGTGCAAGTCATATCACGTTTCGAAATTCCCTACAGACTTTTATCACTCCATCAAATGTGTTAAAGATCTTTGGATTACAACAATCTCTAGACACGTTGACGGAAGCTGGTATCAAGGACTCGGATGTACGCATGGACGTCGCGGATTTTTGGATTGCCGTGCCGGGTTATTCTGTTATACGTGATTTCTGTGTGTGAATTGTGTACAAATATTTTTCTTTTGTTGTATTTTTCAATCTGTGTAAATTTGGAGGATATTCTCTGGCTAATTTCGGAGTTGTCCTTGATTGGTTCAACTGCCGTCTGTGTTCGCCATCTTGAATTTTTCTACGGCAACGGTCCATCAGAACCGATACACTGGTAACCCGAAACTAAGTAGTTTGTACTAATCAAACTCATACTAAGGTAGTAGAAGGAGTGTTGCTTTGTACCCATTACCAAGACCGGTACCATTCGAAATGCGTCGTTTGTAGAACCGCCATAAAGAAATTCAATACGCCGGGTTTAGTTTGGTTCTGTCCGAAGTGCACAACGGTTCCACTAATAAAATGCGTACTAGCGTTAACACCAAACTACGACATCCTAGCCGCCAAAACTGAGCAACGTTTGAATGTAAAAATTGTTTCACTCGAAGCGACAATAGCACATCTTGCACCTCATCCGTCTCCCTCAATTGCTGCCTCAACACCAATGAAAAGGGCCAGGTGTTCACACGGCCACGCTTTACTTGAAACCTTGGGAAACAAGAACCAATCCGTCATCGCGACCGATAGAAGCAGGTCTAGCCGCACCACCCACATCCTCTTATCCAATGTATCGACTGATGCAACAACGGTAACATCCACCTTTCCGATTGACCAAGGAAATCCGAAGCGCTCTAAAGACCGATGCAATCGTTGCTGCTCCGTATAATCGAAGTGTGACCTCAGTGGCCTCACCCAGTATAGCCACGAAACGGGTCAAGGACCAGGTGTAACCTGCAGAGACGTCACTAAACCCCTCGATAACTGTGATTCCCACATCACCAAAGACCAGGCGGAACTAAGGGGCCTTGACACTTATATGCAACAAGGCTCCTGAGTCCAATATAAACTCCTTAAGGGGTAAACCGCTAGATGAGTTAAAGCAAGAGGATTTCCTTTGTGATAAAATCCGCTTTCAAGGCGATGCGACTAATATACCACGCATCACTAGACATCCGACCTTAAATCATTATGGGAAGCCCTGGCTAATGCAGTAACATTGGGCTCAGTAGATGCTGTGGAGACGGTGTTTTTGTCGGCATCTCGCCTGCGAACTAAAAACTGTGGAATACTCATATTTCCGGATGTTCCGGAAAGCGAACGCCAGCGGGACAAAAACAATCCAAACGAGCATCACACGGAGAGTAGCAAAAGAATGATTATTGTCGTCCGTGGCGTGCCCGAGCTACCGACAACCAGCCACGAAGAAGCTCACGCTCATGACCTGGAAGAATGACGTTACTTCCATGAAGTTCTCTGTGCGGGTGAGGTCAAACCTCAGTCACTTACACGGTTACCCTTGTCGCCAAACTACAGAGGCAATGGACCGAAGATACTGAAACTAACGGTGTAGTCACAACAGATGGCCGTGAACTTAATGCGTAGCTAGCAGTTACTACTCAAGACACTTCCTTCGGAACTACGACTGAAGAGAGTAGTTGGAGAGCCGCAGCCACTCACTGTTTTCGCGGAAACGACACCACCCGCGACACAATATAACCACAACAGCTATTCAGAAACCCATGCATTAAGACCCGTAGTCATCGAGAAGGCTGATGATGGACTACATATCGCAGGTGCAAAGTGGGACCAAAAACAGGTTGCATCCCTATCGATATTTGGCAATACCTAAAAAATGATTTTGCGCTGGCTTCACATCGGTCGGCAGAAATCCACATCATTCATGTCCTCCTACTCAACCGCTTTTGACATCCGAGAAGCTTTCCTGTATGGATACCAACGCTCAAGGCTTACTGAGTAAGCTTTTTGAAATGCGGCTGCGTCAAGGATTAAAAGCCTGCGACCTCATCGCTATAACGGAGACATGGTTACGAACTGACATAAGTGACATAGAAATCGCGCTGCAAGGTTTGTCGATTGTTCGGCACGACCGACCCACTGAAGGTTGAGAGGTGGCTCTGTACTTCCGTAATGACCTCCAATGTGAGCTCATAGAGGATCCGGTCGACACGCTACAAAATTCTATTTTGGTGCCATCTACGTTGAAAAGGCACCGACACTTTCTTAGTGGCAGTCATTTACCGCTCACTTTCCTCCACGCTTGAGTTGGACTCCCATCTCGCATCCGCAATAAGAACGGTGCTAAACACCAATTACAATCACCTTCTCAT